TTTTTTCAAGATTTTTTCACTTTTTACCTGTTCCTGTTCCACTCCAGAATCTGCTGCCCATTCTGCTAGAAGACAAGGGTCCCCCCCGCCCCAAGCAAACAGTGCTGTAGAACATTGTGAGGCAGCCAGGGTGAGGTCTTTGAAAGGGACACAAATATAAACAGCATATGCTCCTTATTTTCCAGGGCCAGGCAAAGGAGAGATATAAGGAGACTACACACGCCCATGACACACCAACAACTCATAGCCAGTGTGCTGGTGAGATAGAAGGCAAAATTCAGTGCTCTAGGAATTCAGAGGGTAGCCTTGTTTCTGAGGGAACACCAAAGACTTCAGAGGAGATGACCATTGGGTAGGCCTTGCAGGAAGAACTGAATTTCAAAAAGTAGATGTGCAGTCCTTCTTCAGACTGGGTCTAAATGCTTCCTATGTTGTGACAAACTGGTTGTACATGAAATACATTAGCCTCTGCAATAACTTTTTTAGTTGGATGCTAGCCATTTTGGGATAGGCTAGGAACCATGGGCGTGAGTCTTGCTTCTGATGCTTTCCTGTACATAAATTGTATAAGTCCTTCTCAGCCTCTGAACCTTTGTTCCCCCTCTGTTGTGAAATAGGGATATGATCTTAGCTAGGCATAATGCTGGTCATGAATTTTTGGTTAGGATTACATTAAGTTAATATATGTAAAATGATTTGCAAGTTGCAATGAAATATAAAAACAAGATTATTTCTCACTATCCTTATTGTTGGTACAAAAACTAAAAGTAACCAATGTCATGTGTTTATCATTTATCTAGCAACCTTTTTTTGAGTAACTACAGGGGTCAGCCACTGGGAATGCAAAGATGAGTTACTCTCAGCTTCCATCATTGGAGTCTGAAAAGTCTAGGAAAGCTGACAATGGCTACGATTGATGGTAAAAGTTTATCATGTTAGGATGAAGGCTGGGCTAGAGTTTGCTGGAGCTCTGCTCTTTCGCAGTGGAAATGCAGGTAGATGGTAATGCTGATGACAAGAGCTTCAAAGCCAGAAATCAGCCAGGTGTAGTGGTGCATGCCTGTAATCCCAACACTCTGGGAAGCTGAAGTAAGAGGATCACAAATTCGAGCCCAGCCTGGGCAACTTAAGGATTTAGCAAGATGCTGTCTCAAAATAAGAAGTGAAAAAGGGCTGCAGATGGAGCTTTGTGTTCAGTCTCCAGTGGTACCAAACCAAACCAAACCAACCAAACTCAGAATTCAACAGACATGTGCCAGCATATATTAGGACTGAAGGTTTTTTTTTTTTTTTAATAAGTTTGAGCTTATCCTGTGGTTCAGGCAATTTTATGCCCATTCACTTTCAAATCAAGCTGGGTATTATAATGCTCATTTTATAGATGAGGAAGTGGAGACTCAGGGATGTAGGGAATTTTCCAAGGTTTACAAAGCTAAAAACCTTCATGGTTTATATTTTATGCCCAAGCTTAAAACCTTGTTATCTACCTGCAAGCCTAGAGCTTTTTCCTGTGCTCTGTTGCTTATTCATTAGGCAGTGTTTTTATAGAACTCATTCATGCTAATGTTGAGGGCCTTCTTACTTGGATTGCTTTTTCCAGGAGAAAGAATGATCTATGATGAACAATATGACAGTAAACTCTTCTACCGTCATTTCCTCTTGCACTTCAATGATAAAACCCTTTCTCTTCCACTACCTTCTCCTGACTCTGCCCTCTCTTCCAGTCCCAATGAAACCGCCAAGGACTAAAGAATCCCCCCAAATAAAGAGCCTGCACACACTCACCACCAGCCTCTAAGTCTTAGGACAAAACACACAAGAAAGAAGGAAAAATGTGTGTACAACTCTGTACACAAAGGAGTTAATGTAGACAAAATATATCCATACTTTCACTTTGTGGAACTGTAAGTAATCTCAAAATATGATTTCCCGGCTTGCTTGTTTTATGGATAAGGAAAATCGAGACCCAGGAAAGTGAAGAGACACGCCCAAGGTCACATACTAGTGAGAGGCCCAGTCTGGACTGGAATCCAGATCTCTCTCCCAGGCCAACAATGCTTTTCCAATAAATAAGTTACCTCTTAAGCTTTGCCCATGAACAGCTCAACTTATACGAGATCACGGTCCTTTTACGAAGCTAGCTCAAGGCTGCTGTCTCTCTGCAAAGCCCAGAAGCCAGGCCCTCCTCTTTGGCCTCGGCTTTGAGCAGCTCATGTCCTCAGCTAAAGAAAAGGAAGTGGCTTCAGTTTTAGCTCTGAAAGCAGATTCTGGGGCTGGGAAAGGGGGATTTGGGGAAGAAAGTTCCTGTACATGATGGTCAACAGTAATCAGCAGATGCTTTACTTTGGCGTGAAGAAGAGGAAGACAGAAAATCAGACATTTAGGGGAAGATGAAGGTTGATCTTGAGTTTTAACACGACCTCTGCTAGCAAGAGCTTCCCCAAGCCCTGTGGTGGGGGGAGGGGAGGATCCTGCTCCACTCATTCCCTTCTCAGTTCTGATAGAGCTGGATGCCAGGGTGGGGGCTGATGCAGGAGCACCAGGGTGGGAAAATCTGGAGGAACTTTATACAACCTCAGCACTCCCCCACCCTCTGCTAGCACTCATAACTCCCCCTGCCAAGGGAGGAAGGAGGAACACATTATTCAGTTTAATAATTTATACAAATTGAAAAGCTTACTGTACAAAATAAAGGGGCCCTAGAAGGACAACAGAGAAATAAAAATTCCTACTTCCTCTCTTAAAGGATGGAGGTGTGGGCATGGTATTACTTAATGATCTCACCCAGGTATAAAACAACTTGATGGTCTAAAACATGGGTACAAAGCAAGCGAATCACTTTGATGGTGACCCAAGTTTTGTCTCTTTACTGGTGGAATCACTCGAACTTCAGCAATTATAGCCTGGGACATCCAACAACATAGACCCAGATCCACGAAATACTAGGAAGAGCCTGTGGGCATTTATTTGTCTGTATCAGTGGCTCTCAAACGCAGCAGCCCATCAGAATCATGTAGTGAACTCACCACAAATTGAAATTTCTAGGAAGCAACCAAGAGTTTCCTTAGATAGATCAGATGGGGTCTGGGACGCTTCCTTTTCAAGAAGCAGGCCTGATTTCAGAATCAGTGATCCAGTTCAATCCCATTCATCCAGCTATCAAAGCTTTTACATGAGATGCTGGTTTTATAGCAAAGAAAACTGAAGTGCCAAAACAACAACAAACAAACAAACAACAACAACAACAACAACAACAAAATAAACCAGGTTGGTAGCAACACTTAGATGAGAACCCAGTGCCCTGGCTGCCTGTATAGGGTCTTGGATAATGGTGTTACACACACTTTTGTCCTCCAGCTCCCCACTGGGCCATTGAGAACCCATGAAGATCAAACAATCCGCAGAGGAATCAGCTCCCAGCTTTGACTGAGTCCCCACTTGAGTCACTGTGGAAGGGGCTAAGCGGCTGCAGTGAAGGTGGTTTTCAGGACACTCTCAGAAAGCTGTCTTCTGTGTTCTGTGGGGGTACAAGCGGAGGGACCAGCTGATGGCCTCTAAGGCACACTGCTCTGTCTTTCCAGACTGAAAGGACAATGGCTTCATGGAAGCAGCCTGCTGTGTACAGGAACCAGGGTGGCAGGGGCAGGGTGAAAGGGACTGTCACAAAAGATGAGGTCTGGCTAGCACATTCGTGCACGCCTGCCAATCCCACCACTCTGGGAGCCTGAAGCAGGAGGATCCCAAATTTGAGCCCAGTCTGCACAACCTAGTGACATAATGAGAGTCTGTCTCAAAATGAACAACAACAACAACAACAACAACAACAACAAAGGGCTGAGGATGTAGCTTAGTTCAAGGTCCTGAGTTCAATCCCTAGTACTAGAAAAAAATAAAGGTCTGGGAGACAGGGGGAGGCCAAGCCTCATGGACTCCAGGTCACACTAAGACCCTTGGCTTTTACTCTGAGCCACCGAGGGATTTTCAGCAGAGGAGTGGCACAACCTGACATATTTTCACAGGGGTCCCTGATGCAATGGTGAGAACAGACTCTACTTAGCAGGTGTGGAAGCGGGGAATACCCAGAAGATCAGCGGTAATCTCTGCCAGAGGATGGAAGACGGCATCTTAGATCAAGGTGGCAGGAAAGCAGGTGGATATTTTTAAAAAGTAGAGTTAACAGATTTTCTCACTGACTGGATGTGAGATGTTAGATAAAAAGAGGAGCTGCGGATGGTGCCAATGCTTTGGTTTGGGTACCAGGAGGGTCCAGGTTGCCACCAACTCGAGAGGACAAGGCGTGGGGGAGGGACAGCAGGCGTTCAGTTGTGGACATGCAGAGCTTGCGGTGTCTGTGAGGTACGGCACAGAGATTCTGCACAACCTGCTGGGGACAGGGGCACAAGGCTCAGGAGGATGCAGATAGGTTTGGAGGCAGCATGGGCACACGTGGTATTTAAAGTCTCATGAGTGGATGAGGTCATCAAGGGGGCAAGCACAGAGAAGAGAAAATGGGGTCAAGGACCCTGTGTGGGGACCCTCTGACATCAAGAGGACAGAAAGGAAAGAGATTCAAAAGTGACCAGTGAGGCAGGAGGGTAGCGAGACGAACCCAAGAAGACAAAGCATTCCCAGGAAGGAGTGCCAACTGGGTCCAGTGCCACTGCAGGTGCAGTGAGGTGGAAGCTGAGAAAAGACTACTAGATGCAGACACTGGGGACACTGGTAAGTGTGACAGTAGCAGCGTTTGACATAGCTGACCTTATGGGGTCTCACAGTTCGACTATCGACTGCCTTTACTCCCTTTCTGTGACTCTTGACTTCTCAGTTAGCGTGTACATTATCAACAGCAGGGGTGATAAGGCACTGCAGCATCTTCAGAGCACCAGATCCCTGCCGGGCTAGTGGGCCTCACTGAGCCCACTGAGGTCCTGATGTGGTTTGCCAGCTCTCCCCTAACCCTAACCCTAACCCTAGAGCAACTAGCCTCATGCCTGGCTTACCTTGGACGCAGAATTTCAGTTCCTTCGGGTCAGTGATGCTCTTCCTGCTTTCCCGGATCACAGCCCTGTTCTTCTTGGTTTCTCCCCAGAGATTGGTACCTCCGTACATGCTGGGAATGTTGAGAATGGCAATGCCTTCGAGGAAGATGTTGCTCAGGTCTACCTCAACTCCATCACACTGGGAACACAGAGCAAAGGCCATCTGTTAGTGTCCCCAGTGGATTGTAACCCAAGGTGGAGAGAGAGAGAGAGAGAGAGGGATATTGGGGCTCTTTTCAAGGATGTGACAGGTCCTCAGCCACCACTCTGTCATTGTCAGAAACTTCTTGGGCAAAGTTGCTCAAGCTCAGTGCTTCAGTCATTGTAGTCAGATGGGGAGATCTAGGCCTGGAGAGCTCTGGGGAAGACAACACAAGACTTCCATAGGTCTAGAAATGTTCTAGGGATGGACGCCAAGTCAATCGCTAAGCTTTTCTCCACTTCAAGGTCATCATCATCAGTTCTGTCCCTTCCCAACCAATGTGAAGATTTACAGTGACACTGAATGCAGAACCCAACACATAGTAGATTCTCAACAAGTGACAGAAAAATGTCATTGACTTCCCTCTATTTCACTCCTGTGAGAAGTACAAGATTTAAGACTTGGAAAGCTTTCAGAATTTGCCTGTCTCCCGTATCTGTATTGTAAGTGCAAATCTGGCATATGTGCTTGTTGAGGTAGCAGAGTTTCTTTCCCAACTTCTACCACCTCCACCCCCACCAGGTACAGAAGGCCAGAGGGCTTCAGTCTGCATGACTCACCTAACTCTAAAATGGCTCACTTTGACATAAAGCTTACCAACACAGCAAGAAACGTATTAACTCCCATCTTCCCCAGTCAGGATTGTAAGTCACGTACTTCATTTACAGAAGAACAAACTGGACCCAGAAAGATGAGTTGTGTTACCCAAGATGACACAGATGATAAATAACCGAGCAGGATTTCAAACTTGAGGAATTTGACTACAATGTCCATGTGGTTTATCTTGCGTATTGTGAGAAAGGAAAAATCAAAAGCATACAGTAAAAATCTACTGTCCATGAGGGCTCCCTATTGCTGTGGTTGGACTACTTCTGCCAAAACGCATGATGCGAGCTGGTTCTCATTGTAACAGTATGAAGAGGTAGGGTTGTTGGAAGGCTATCAGGGTTACGTGTGGTCATGTGTGTGGGAGGACATGCTGGCCTTAGCAGCTTTATAGGAAGAGGTAGAGAGAGGTGGTACATGTCTGTAATCCCAGCTAAGAGCATGAGGCAGGAGGACTGCACATTTGAAGCCAGCTCGAGCAACTTACAGAGAGACCTGGAGCTTGCGGTCTCAAAATAAAAAGCAAAAGAGTGGGGATATAGCTCAGTAGTAGAGGGCTTCCCTGGCATGGGGGAGGCCCGGGTTCAATCTACAGTATTAGGGGGAAAAAAAAAGGATGAGAGACCCACATGTTGCTTCAGACTCTGCAGAACGTCCCCACTAGCAAGAAGGACCTCACCAGATGCAGCTCCACACTGGACCTTCAGAACTGTGAGAGGAAGGAACCTTCTTCATTCTTTTAAAATTACCCAGTCGGCATTATTCAGTAGTAGCAACAGAAAATGGACTAAAATTCCTACAAACTCACCTTCTAGAGGCTTCATCAGAGGAGAGTTGGAAAGGTAGGGCTTGTTACCCCTCATATTGCCTCATCTCCTGATTTCTTTGAAGTTCTTGATTGATGCTATCTCGTCATCTCCCTAACTGGTTTCCCCACTGCAGGACAAGCTGCTCTCCTAACTGGGAGCTTATTTTTCCATTGAGAAGTTTGGAGAATTTGAAAGATCTCTTTAGGTAGCTCTATATTCTCTCTTCTTGCTTCTACCCATTGGCCCTCTTCCCTTCCTGAAGGCAGAATGACCCTCTTTTCTCCTCCAGGGAACCAGCGCACCAGACACAGGATGACAGTGGCAGTCACCACTGGGCCTGTATACCAAGCACTGCCGCCTGACACATTAGCTTTTCTGAACACCTCATTGATTATCTTTGTGACATTTCTACCGGTCACTATGACCACACTCTCTTTACGTTTGGGGAAACAGAGGCACAAAGGAGGCTAACTTGCTCAGTGTCACACAACTGACACACAGAAGCACACGGATTTGACAGCAAGCAGTCAGACCTGTCTTAACTACGCCTTTATTTCTCCCCCCTCTTACACCACAGTCTGGCTGTGCAGCCTCCGGGTTGAGAACGGTCAGCTCTCCTAACCGTCCCCTGAGGACCTGGTTTTCAGACCCCCCACCCCCGGGCTGTCCTGATCTGCACACACTCCAGTTTGTCACCCACCAATGACAGCAACACCAGAGACAGGATCTGACAGGACAGGTGGCAATGACACCAGCACTTCCTGGGCTGAAATTCTATGACACTGTCATGCCCCAGAAATGAGATAATGTGCAAAGCCCATGGAAGAGCTCAACACATGCCATCTGTTACCATTATCCTTACTGTTAAATATAAAAGGTGCACCAGCCTGCTCAGCCAGCTCTTCCCTAGCCTGAACTTGTGAAGGTTTAAAAAAAAAAATTAGGCCTAGGGCTTTACATTAATATCAATTAATTTAATCTGGCTTTCAATCTAAGTCTCCTCCAGCTCAGTGAGATCTTCATTCTGTGACCCCTGGTCATAGCATGCCTATTGTTTGGAGATGAAGTCACTAATACCTGTATAGAAAGGGCAGAACCAAGGACCAGTACCTCTCCTCAGGCATTGTAGCACAGCATCCATGGTACAGGAACAGCCCGCAGGTGTGGCGGTTTACTGGGGGTGCATCTTCAGGAGTGTACTGTTGCCAGCCCACCTTTCATTACAAGGTGGAATCATGGAACTTAGGAGATGAGCAAGACCTCAGAGAATATGCCTTATTGCTGTAGTTTAGATGGAAAATGTTCCCCCCAAATCTCATGTTTTCAGAGGTGGGGCTTTTGGAAGTTGATTGGATCATGACGGGAGGGCACGAACCTTATTAATGGCGCAATCCATTGATGAGTTCATAACTGAATGAGCTATTGGGGATGGGGTTGTTGCAAGCAGGTCACTGGTGGCATGCCTTTGGGAGGTCTATCTATTCTCCAGTCCTTTCCCTTCTGTCTGCTTCCTGGAAGCAGAGATGAGCAGCTTTCTTTTTTTTTTTGGTACTGGGGATCAAACTCAGAACCTTGCGTTTGGCAGGCAGGTGGCAGAACCATTGAGCCAAATCCCCGGCCCGAAATGAGCAGCTTTCATCTGCCTCACCCTTCCACCAGGATGTTTCTGCCCAGAGCCAGCCAACCGTGGACTGAATCCTCTGAAGCCAAAATAAACCTTTTCTCCTTTATGTGGTATATTTCATCCCAGCAACAGAAAGGTGACTAACCTACCTCTCTTTCATAAATGAGGCCTCGTGACATTAAAAAATTTCTGTGATGATTCAATTTATTAACCATGGACCTATATTAAAATCTAGGTCTCTAGACCTCTATTTCATGTTCTTTTTACTAAAACATGACATTGTGTGGAGATCAAATAGCATTCTTCTACAATCTCCATCAAGAAAGGAATAAGAGAACCCATATTAAGTCACTAGTATCTGTGTGTAAATCAAGCGTTCTTGAATCTACCCAGGGACTGAAGTATATCAATACGTGGTTTCCAGACCATATCCTTTTCCTATTTTTTGAAAACTGGAATGATATTTTTCCATTTGCTTCTCATTCGATGGAAGTGGCCCTCTTCCCTGAGTTTGTCAGTGTGGTCCTTAACTGACATCTAGAGTTTTATCCAGCAACTTGACTTCAAGTGCCTGTAAGTTCTCTCTTGATCTGCCTTGGGCATGGTAGCTAACCTTAAGGCCGGGAGATCAACTGAACATCAACTTCAAACAGACCCCAGGCTCCTGCCACCTTTATTTGCCCCAGGTACAGGAAGAATCCAATGAGACTGGGTGTCTTTCAGAAAGCAGAGTGAGAATGAATGGCCGCCCTCCCAGGGAAAGGTTAACAGTTTACCAAGTTAATAGCTAGCACTTCAAGCTGGTTATGGCCAGAGAGGAAGTGGACAGGGTGCATTTAAAACTGCAGTAGGGAAGAAGGAAACCTTGGTGGGTTACTATTGGCCAAGGACTGTTTCGAGTATATACTTAAAAAAAACCTGGCACAGAGTCAAGGTATAATAATACTAATATCTAAAATCGATGTGCCACTTTCGATACAGTATAGAGTAGTAGTGAGAGATTTCAATTATTCAAACAACAGCTGGAAGTTTAATGTTGCTCTAAGTCTAGCAGCAGCATAAAGAATCACAGCCCGCGCGCGGCGGGTTAAGGGCTCTCTCCGAGCCAGCGGTGGCAGGTAACTAGGGACCAGGCTAGCAGGTGAAAGCGCGTCTTGGATCCCCACGATCCCACAATTCTGGGCAGAACCTGGACTTGCCAGAGACCCAGGGCAAGGGCACTGACCACCCCACCTTGGGTCTTTCTGTGCCCCTCCTGCTGCCCGGGGTCGGACCAGGCCTGCAGGTAGACCTCAGGAACCTACTTCTGAAAGTCCTCAGAGAGAATTCACAATTTCTGTGACGACCTGTTTCAGTTTTTGTCAACTAGGAAACTCTCCTTTCTTCTAACCCCGACTCACCATGCCACGGATCAGGCGGATGTCCTTGGTTTGGGAGGCACCTTGTGGTGTTTCACAGCCACATAGGGCAGCTCTGCTCTGACCTCCTGCAGGGCACCCCCCTGGAGGGGAACCCGGACCTCAAGGGCTGTGGGGACTTCCGTCATCTTTCAGCTAGACAATTCTCTCTCTTTTTTATTTTTTTTCCTTACCAGGGATCGAACTCGGGTCCTTCCACTTGGGAAGGAGGCGGTGGAACCACTGAGCTAAATCCCCAGCCCTAGACGTTTCTCTTTATCCTAATTTATCCCTCTCGTCTTCGATGACTCCTAGGTCTTTCTTTTAGAATCTTTTTATTATGGCTCTTTCCAAACATATAGGAAAGAAGAGAGAATAATAAATCCCCACTTAACCCTCAAGCCCAGCCTGAGCAATTAGCAACGCACGGCTAATCACGTTCACATTGAACTATTTTACAGCAAACCCCTGATTTTCTATCATTTTATACACAAATACTTG